ATTATGTTATGCATAGAATTGTAATTTTATTGAGAAAAATATTATTTTTTGCATCTGTGTAAATTTTACTTTTTTTTCACATTAAACAAGAACATGTTTGAAATGTCGTTTTTTAAATATGCACATAAAATATGCACATAAAATATATGCAAGTAATCGACAAAGGCAATGAAATTTCTCCAATGCAAACCTGTTATCGGCTAATTTATTATTTATATTATACATATAAATTATATTGCCTCTTCTTCTTTTTTCCCTTATATTTTCTATACTATTTGTGTAGATAGTACTATTTGGGTATATATATATAACTGATCAATAAAACTGAACAAGTGCCAGTCCTTCAAACCATCATATTTCCCAATAAAGGCTACTGAAAAAAAAAAAGAGCCAGTCCTGTTTTGTACGTCAATGGGTACCACCGTCATAAATTGCAATGCATATATTTTAATTTATACTTAGAACTTGCTGTTGGTGATTTTATGGCGTGACAGAAGACGGAGCACAGCTGCACTCCCATAAAACATAAGTACTTTTGGATGGGATCGTTTACTATATATGTGCTATATGCGATGATGTAAAATAAAATAAAATCAACCGCAAGTGCAATTCACATGAGCACAAATGACCTAAATACCGATTTAACGTCCATCTGGGAATTATTTACTAGTTGTAACTACACTATAAATTAATGTAAGTATAATAGCATAACACGAGAGCGGATAAACGTTTTCTTGCGTTGCACAGTTAGCCAGCCATACCCACTCGACGGTGCCTTTTCCAGCGCACATTGTGCCATCCGTCACTCCTGCACTGACAATCGGCGCAGTGCTTTGATAACATGACCGCACATTCTTATTTCTGTGTTATTATTTCTAAGGACAACGTATAATAAGCAATAACAAACGTGACGTTACAGGAACAACGGTAAAAGTAGTAAAATGGAATTAAATCACACACTGGTTAGATATTTCCGCGGTAATTTTATTGACCTCACAATAATAACAAATAGTCTCTTGTCAGTTTTTTTTATCGATAATTTAATAATGTTTTTTTTTTTTTAGGTAGGTAGTTAAGTATAGATATTTACTCCGTGCAAGTGGATTTAAAAAAAAAAAGTTGCACACACAATGGCGCACACCGTTGAAATTCTTGTAAGGAAAATTACCTTTTTTTACACGACATCACGCACGAGGACGGATCAAGATACTATTATTTAGTCAAACACATAGATTATTTAATTTTGAACCTTTCACTATGTCAAAATCACTAAGGTAGAACACCCAAACGGCTCCGTTGAAACACATTACAAATAAATAACACTGGAATAAATACCCAACCAGAGCACTGGCCGTAAGTTCCTGATTTATAACGCTATTCTGAAATTTATATCAAATAACAAATAGAGTTACTTCGAAATGAACTTATAGTTTTGTTATAAACGGATTAAATAATTAGATACCCATTTTTATTAAGAGACTACGGATTTAAAAATATGCGCCCTTCGACTTAGAGCTACTAAAATTTGTACTGGTCCATATAATAGTCCTGGGACAGAGGGTATGTATAATGGTGTACCTATTTACCTACTATAGTTTAATATTGTTGAGTCATAATAGCTAATGGCTGGTAGCTATAGCGTGTTATGTTAATTTTTCTTAAATTATTTTTATTTTATTTCTTTCATGAAAATGCCTGGTTTTTAAAGAAAATAACAATTTTTAAGTTACTATGTCTTAATATCATGTATATATTGTTACGTGTTTCTATTTATCTAGATTTCAAAAAAAAGTCAAGAACGTTAATATTTTGCTACGTCATTCATACCACTTATCGTTACAAGTAAGCTATAATCAAATATTTAACCATACGCATGTACGGTTCGACGTTATTGTAAAGTGGTTGTGTTTATAAAGCAGCTTAAAAAACAATTTCTGTTGTGACTAAGTAGTAATAACAATAAATTATTAGCAAGTTCAAGCTGTACGAAAACATCATATCATTTCCCAGCCACTTCGAGAACATAACTAAATATATAATATTTATACATCTGTGTTTTTTTTTCCAAATGAAACCAGGACAAAATAATATATATAGATATATACGAAAAAACCAAAATCACACATTCGATTTGGTCACACGGCACGTCGTCGTTTTTTTTAACTCGATTTAATTGTAGGTACTTATCAAAACCAAAACCCTATTCAAAAATTAAGTTATCAAAATAAAAAAATTAAAATTGAACCTAATTACACGAACAATGCACACTATTTAGGTAATAGACAATTGCCTTAAGCCTACTAAAATGAATAATAATCCACCGTTATAACTGCTATGCACTCGGCGAATGCGTACCATTAAAATATTAATACAGTTAAGAACATGTGTGTAAACAGTTACTGACAAAGGTACTTTGTAAAATTGTAAGAACAATGTTAAACGGTCCGAGACGACTACTTTTTTACTTCTAAGCAGTAGGAGCCATTAAGACTCTTAGTTTCCGAAACTAATTCACCAAACATCAATGTTTGTAGCTAAACATTGATAATCACAAAAAATGAAATCGGTTGTTTTTTTTTTTACCAAATTATTTTAACTACGATTTTGACTGGATTTGTTGTTCAATTATCTTTTTTCCATTGGAATCTGTAACAAAGCCGATTTGCTCCGACATTCGCGTTGAACGTGCGTTGCCGATCTGCCCACGTAAGATGGAAATACTTTGTAAAAAGAATTTCAATTTTTTTCCTATCGATTTCTATTGAATTCACATCGACAATCGCTTTTGGAGAGAGGTCTGCGCACTGTTTTCATGATGAAAACGTGCACAATGACTCGAGTATAATCCATTTTATCCGCTGTTGTTGAACGTTTAATCACCCGATAGGCGATACCTATAGATAAACACAATGTAATACTGTATGTTAAGAACTGGTCGTAAGTGTGCTTTAGATATCATTATTATTTCATTTCATTTTCAATTAAGAAATACAGGAATAAATAATATTCTCTCGGTAGTGTTTGTCAGTAAAGATCATCAGGCACAATCAACTGAGAAAATCCTAAGTCAAAACCGAAATATTCCAACCTCTATCACAGATAATATTTACATACAAATGCACATATAAAATGCAGAAGAGACGTTTTGGTTTGAAAAACGATGTTTTTATTTTATAAAAAACGTAGAATTTATTGTATTAGTCTTTTAAAGTAACAGTCTATTTAATACAATATTAATAACTGTGAATAATATTATGTAGGCGGGTGATAGATTTTTGCTCAACATTAATAATAGTAATAGAACCACTAAATGTCTAATGTTGCATTAAACGTTTAAAGAACCGCGTGCGTGCAACCCAACATATGTAAGTGTTTTATCAAATAAAAAATCTAAAATTAGGAAAATTACTTACACTATGTCCTACGGGAGATTTTAATCCCTCAATATTATTTAGGCTAATGGTGATAGAAGCTTTTGTGTATACATTAGCGTTGTCTATTTATAAAATATTTAATCCATCGAAGGTTTATTAAGAGCTTGCCTGGGTACTGCGGTAATTTAGTGATAGAATGGCCAAAACTTATAGTTAAAAACGTTTTATATAACCATAGTCTTAAAAATGTCATAGTTATTGCTCTATAGGAGCTTAACAATGTAAATTACATAGGGACATTTTTAAGTACATGAATTTTATTTTCTCATGATCGTGTTTTTTATCCTTTAAAACTTACTCATTCGGATTAGTTTGACGACGATGATATAAATTAATTTGAAATGAATGGGCCAATCGTTAACATGCCATGATTTCAAATCGTTGGATTTGAAAAATCAAAATCCCTATATTGAATTTTAAGTTAATTTTTCCAGTATTTGGAAATATTTTTTTGGGAAGGAGGGAATTGAATTTTTAAAATGTCTTTCTTGGATGATTTTACTAAATATAGCTATAAATATTATTAGTATAGTCCAAATACTAGTAATATAGTCCAATATTAGTAATATAGTCTGTATTGTTCTATAAATCTACATTAAATTAGGATAGGCAATTCGATACCGCAGTGGTATTATCATGTGCACGCACATAATAACTAGTATACAATACACGAACGTTCCGTTCTAGTAATCTAAGAAAAATGTACCTACGTCCTCACTTATATATTAATATATTATTATATTGTACTCGGCAATTATTTTGATTTCAAAACCCAATCATACGCCACACCTGGCATTGCCATATTGTATGATACCTACATATTGTTTTTATTTTTTAATTCACTCTCTCTTCCTTCTGCCCGACCGTCGATCGTCGGCGACACCTTTACGAAGCCTTTTATTATCTCAAGTGCGTGTTTAGATGACAAGAATATTATAATTGTAATAATAATTACGGTTAACCGATAAATATTGTTCATCCTCAAACGGCCATCAATGTAGTAGGTAGTAGGTACTAAGTACACAATGTATGAAGTGTTTTTTATATTCTACGCTCGTAAATGGGTCACGGGTACAAGGCGATTTTGCGGATTGCCCGTCGGACGTTAATTTTTCGGTTTTTGTTTTGTTTTTTTGTTTTTCCATAATAGGTACCAAAATTTGTTTTGAACGTGTGCGCGCTGTCATTTCATGTACCTACCTATAGATGTTTTTTTGCGACGTTTAATTAACATTTTTAAAGAATCGAAAGAAGCAAAAAAAAGTATAATAATAATAGAAACAATTTTCTAGTCCGCTTTCTATGTCAGATCGTGGAATACTACAATATATGTATTACTATTATATACAATTATAGTACGTGAGACGACTGTGATGGACCGATCGGACACGTACCTACTATAGGAAATCTGCTCGGACAGCTGGCCCTAAGACCAGGGCGGCCTGTGATGACAATCGGTAAGAAAAAAATCTTTCCAACCGACCAAGACGTACTATTACTATGGGCGAACCGGCCTGGCAGAACAGCCGCGTCTCTCTCTATGATAACCCTATGTATGTATGTATATATTGTACATAATATTATTATACACCTAATAATAAACACGATACAGAGCCGGTACCGCCTTCCGCCGTGTACCGCGTATAGTGTGCGTCGCGTTCCCACCGAGTGCGGTCGTCATGTGCCGTTGAACCGTTCGCTTTCGGACAACCGAAATACACGTTATTCGTCTAGGTTTTTTTTTGTGTGTGTGTAATTGTTTAGTTGTGTTTGTTTGTGTTTGTTTTGGAACAAATTTATTTTATCGTTACGGATTATAATGCAAGTCTAAAGGGCACCCGCTCTCGTCGGATGCAATAAGCGCGGGACAAACGAAATGGACGAGGAAACGGCCGTGGTTTTGGGCGTGCAGCTCTTGGCCCTTTGCTGCATCGTGTGCTCACTGGTCAGTGTCGTTTATTAATATTAATATTCTAATAAAACATCGGCAATCCGGTACGCGAGTATGTTGTGTTAAAACTTGGAAAAATACTGCGCATGCAAGTTGTGTGGCAAATAAAAATCACTAGTTCGTGTGTCTAATTTTGGGTATTAGGCTCGGTTTGATGTGTATTGTAATAATATAAACCAATGAAATGAGATCGGAACTAATTAGAATATATAATCAATTTTTGGTAGAGATTACAATATAGCAAATATTACTACTGTGGTGGTTTTAAAAAAAAATTATTATCGTGAAAACATGATTCGACATGATTCATGAAGTAGTGTTGCAGCAAGTACTACCATTATTCCAAATACATAAGTAATGTAAGACGTTATACATTTTACGACGTTGTTGCCTAAGATAAATTGTAAAATATGCGCAATAATCAATATTGCTTTCGGCCAGTTCAATGTTTTAAGTCCTCCTTACAACATAAGTGCAGGGCAGGATAATGCTATTTGTAAGCCCAATTTTCAGAGGATTCCTGTATCTATGACTATTCATTTAAGAAATTAAGACAATTGTATTTCATTTTTCTTTGGTCGAGGCAATTGTGTATACTTTTGTAAGTCCTGTGTTTTCTCCTAGGTCCAATAGGCACTGCGCCTACTGGTCAACCGGTCGTAAATTATTATGGAATTTTCCAACTTTAACTACGCATTTTTGTATTATCATATTTTATTCTAGTTTAATGGCCAACGTGGTCTTTTTATTAACTATTCGGTGTTATAGTATACCGTACATGTTTTGTAGTGACACAATTTCTGTGTCGAAGTAATAAGAGAATAAATGGTTTTACTCTAGTGACAATTACTTAATATGAGTCGATTAGTACGATATACATTTACTGGAACGAGCATTACAATTTTTAACATTCCATTATTGCGGTTGTTACTATTTATAATGGAATATATCCACATTCAATAACTGGATATTGTTCAATAATCGATATCGGTGGCCGGCGTACACGATAACTAGACTGAGTGTATTGAAAATCCGCTCGCATTCAACTTAATTTTAATATAATACTATTAAATCGATTGATCCATCGATGAATGACTGCCAAAGACTGGCTAATAACAGTTCACATTTCAGTAAGTCGCGCTGACACTTATGGCCATACGAGGAGTCATTCAACTGTTATAGCATTTTGCCACAAAAGACATACTAGGTAATAATTTAAGAAACACAATTTATTAGTTATTGATGCGCAATTAAATTTCGTTATTCAATTTGTAAAGTTAGTGATGATTTACAATGCACCGTCATATGTCACGGGCCCACATGTAATATAGGAAATTGTTTTTTTTTCTATTAACAATGATAATGTACTAACGCCTCTAGCTAAATACATCTTACTTTCCTCTTACGTGCGTACGGTCGACGATTATTGAGAGGTACTATTTACTTTCATCCCACTCTCCACTCTCATCTCTAACAGCTAAAATCAACAACAAACTTTAGTGTTCACTCTTTACTGGCATTAGGTATGCCAGTGAATTTCTATTATCTTATTGCACCCAGGAAGTGAACGGTTTCGAACTTGACAAGAATGGTTTCAAAACATTAAACACCAACAGTGGCAGTTTATACGATTGACTATGTCAGTTTATTATTTTAAATGTTTTAGTTGAGCGCGTTTTGTTAAAATAAACATATAATAATGCATTCAAGACACCTTTCAAAGTAGTTTAATCAAAGGTTTCCTAGACCCCAAAATTCGACAAGAAAAATAGGGAAAATAGGCCTTAAAAATGATTTTGAATTTCTAATGAAAAAGTCTATATTTTTTCAATATAACGCAAAGTAGTTTTAGTTTTGTTTGTATTGTTTGTATATTTGTGTAATTATTATAGGAAATTATCATCTCAGTTTTCAGCATTATAATAAAATCGAACGAGTCACCCGACAAAATTTCAGCAAAATCAGATAACAATTCATAGACAAGCTGAAACAATCGAGACATTGTGTAGCGCCGATCAATTATCAATCTGCGATAACAGATAAGATTTTAGAACAAAGATGTGTTAAAATTTTAAAAAATGTTAATACAAGTTTTATTTATCCGATAATAGGTATAGAAGTCGCCATACATTTTGGTGTTCACGACGAAAATACAATGATTGATTAAGTTGATGTATTATCCAAACACAAATATATACATATATATATTAATATATTATAAGGTCCATGTCTATTTATACTCTGACAGATGGTCGTCGTGTCTATGACCGCGTAGGCGCATCAAGTCCAAATCTTACCGACATATGCTGTCACAGGGCTATTAGAAATATTATACATTTTTGTCAAGATTTCCGCCTTGTCGCCAAGAAACCCATTTGAAGACATATTTTAATGAATTTGTTATGTAATGTGTAATACGAGTCAAGACTGTTGAACCTTGTTGTCGCTCGAGGCGAACAGACATTATTTCTAAACACAAAATAATTTAAAAACATTAACGGAAAGCATTAGGTTTAATTTTTACCATAGGCTATTCTGTTTTCTATAGATTGTGTAGAATATTATTATTATTATTATTCAAATAGCATTTTAATCGTCACCGCTATATTGGCGTCTCAGCTTAAACAAATTATACCTAAATCATTTTCGAATTGCCGTTGTACCTAGTAACAGTCATGAAACGTGCATCGCTGTTCAAACTTTAATAAACTGTTGGAACTCGTGAGACGGTTGGTCTGTGCTGATGTTTTTCGATTCATCTTCGAAATAATCAAATTGTCTTTCAGACGTAATACTTTCTAACCGCGTCTCTACGATATCGCATTGTATTATTCGATGTACTTATTTCCTGTATCAACGAAAGCGCTGTTTCAACCTGTTTACGATTAAGTACACTCGTACATTCGAATTTGAACGAGATTTCCACAAAAATGCTTTTCGAACTGGCTCTACTGCTCTTCTTTTTTATCTGATACTACTGTATTATATTTTGCACCCTGTAGGTTATAGTTCGGCCTATTCACTAGTTGGTACTCAAATGATTAATTAATGGGAAGACATCGTTTTTTATTTTATTTTTTTAAACGTGCTTCGGTTAAAACGATGTTGTCGGTCACAGTGATTACTTATTTTTTCTTATTTATTATCATCTGATCGACGGACGCGTAATCGTCGGTCTGCGTGTACAATGTATATACTTATAGATATGGCTGTGGATTTACGTGAGACCCTAATACGAACGAGCGTCCATCGATTTCACCGGCTTTCGAATGTCCGGCGTTTTTGATCAAGCCTAATGTCATCAAATATGAAATATTCATAACGCAACGCTTCCAAACGGATTGGCAAAGACACGCTTTCGCATTAAACGAAACAAACAATATACTAAATCTGTAGATGAGTATTTACAATTTTACAACCCTCTCCCCAAATTAAGAGTAAATTCTAACAGTAAATAATATGAAATCTGATCAAACGTACTTATTGTGCATAGCGATTGAACAAATTTTGTATAAATTGTAAAAATTGCCTATACTTTACTCCTTAGAAATGGGCGGAGTGGCGTCCTCTTAATATAAAAAAAAATTAAAGTAGCTGAAAATTCAAAAACTTTTGTGACATAATATCTATATAGGGGTAATTGAGCTTCAAAAATCGTATGGTGGGGTTTAATTTACGATTAAGTAAAAATTGAACAAGATGGTGTCTGGTATTCCCTTTAAAAAGCAAATTATCAAAAAAGATTTTCATTTACACTTGGCAATAGGAGTCCATAGCCGTTGTTTGGCAGAAACGTTCGGAGACACCCTGTAGACAGGTTTTTTAAAAATAATTCCTTTTGTTATACCTACTCAATTTGTTATTAACTTGTGTCTAAAGTTTTAAATATAAAGAACCTGACAATTGTTCTCCTCGTACGGTTCAATAAACATATTCATTGTCCTTAGTGAATGTTTTATATACAAATTGTATTTTGTTGAAATTCTAAACGACCATATTGATATAGCCAAATATATATAGCTAAATTTGTATGGCTTTGTTATTCGATATTATCTATTCTTTATTTTCCGAAGCGTTCACTTAAAAATTGCATGTTCGTATAACATATGCAATTATTATAATAAAACTTGTTTTTTTTTATAAGTAATAATATTTGAAATCTACATAACATTGCTAATTGTAATGATTGCATAATAATGTTATTGGTTGGACAATTATAATATTATAATAATATGTTGTATCGGCATTGGACCTGTAAGCGCCTGTAGAAAGCTAAGAATTTTGAAGCCTGTCAATTAACTCATTTAGCTTTTACTTTTTTTGCGTTTATCATATCGATTAATAATTCAATGTTACGCATAAATAAATCTGAAATCGATTGTATTATAATTGTACGTATTACCGTGCTAACTACTAGTCATCAGAGCTTTAAACAGAAATAACATATAATATACTTGTAGACGGTTCTGTGGTTATTGGTTTTGCGCTTCGATTATTTTTGTATTATAGCCTATATACCTATTATAGGTAAGTGTGTCGCCACGAGACAATACTCGCTGTCAGACGTGTGGAATAAAATAAAAAATTCCAAGACAGTCCTAATGGTAAAAAATCTTAAGAATTTGTACAATTAGACGTATTACACAGTCCAACACACTATTAAGTCTGATTACTAATAATGTAGACGAGCACGGATACCATAAAAATGGGCACAATATAGTATAATGTTTTTATTCTTCTAAAAATGAGTTTCTCGTTGATCAACAATCGATAGCCCCTACTGGACCCTTATCTCAGACGAGGGTATAAGTGGTTTTTTTAATAAGAAGATGTATAATATATATTATAGAGCTATGTAAATACAACTTTATTATTTATAATGCAATTGTATATACTCATAAGTAACTATATGATAATATTTTATTGGAAACCCGGTTAAACGAACGTATTATTTCGGAAAAAATTAAAAACAATTAGATTTCTATGTTAAAAAAATATTAAAAAACACACGTATATACTATCTACTAAACAATAATTGTTCGTTATTCACACAACAATTTAGTAAATAAGCCTCGATACAAGTTGTTATTGCTCAACACAAAAATGTACTTATTTGCAAACAAGCGAATTAATGAACGTGCGTGTGCAAATTAGTAAAATTCAAACACCTTTAGTAAAATGATAATATGAATATAGAGTACTATATATTTGTATAGACGATTGTTTTGTGATGAAAGAGCTCATGTTACATTATATTTTCTCGTATAACGTACATATGTTAAAAAATAATTGACTTATTAAGTTTCATTTACTAGGGTAATACGCACGAAACACGCTCAATATTAATGACACAAAAATATATAAATAATTTTTAAAAAAAGAGTATAATACTATTGTATAATATAACAACTACTACAGTGTATTTATTTATCAGAACAGTGTTTGTACTTTTAAATGATAAGTTATTATTTGTGAGTTCAGTACAGCAAACATACACATTAAATAGTACTACTTGGGTTATTTGTGTGATAATAACTTAGGAAATTAATATTACTATTACTACCACTACTATACAGTAAATAATTATAATCATAATAAAATAATTTGTTTAAAAATACATTTAGTGTAGCCTATGAAGCGAGTTATTGTTTTTATAATATTGACTGAGTTCAATTAAAATATCACGAGTATGTGTGAGTGTGTAAGTACAATGAAAAATTATACCAATGAACATTAATTTAATGACACCACTTAATGATATATTATTTTAAATGATGATCGAAATTTGAATGCAATAGTTAAATATTGTAACGCATTGGAAATAAAACAAAATATTTTAAATTTTTTGTATAGCATTTTTTTTTAAACTAAATTATATTTTAATTATAATTATATATTAATATAATGGTTTTTTTAAGATTATATTATAATGTATTATGAATTAATAGTAATTAAGTTAATGCGGCTAACGACTGAATGTAAACGCGGTATATACTGTAATTATTTTTATGGATGTTATAAAAATGTATAAATCAAATTAAGATAATTCTATATTATGTTGTGTACTAACTTAGTCCTAACAGTATTATCCGTTTACATGCATTTTAATTTCTCGGACTTTGTCCTGATCCGAATTAACTAATTCAAATCAAGATCGAAAAACTGAACTACTGTACTTCGGATTACTAACATGCTTATTATATTTAAATGCCACTTTTACATAGTACTGTAAATACGCATGTGAACTAGGCTAATCCAAGAATTAGGTGCAATTATTATTTTTTAATATGCATTATCTTAATGTCATCTCATCTAATGTCATCATCTCATGGTGGCGGCGTTGGGTCTTTAAGCTGATGATGATGATTAGCTTAATGTCAATTGATAATTTTTTTCAGTTCCAATTTAATTGAATCTAAATCCGGGATTAAACATTTCAAATAAACCTAAATGCTAATGCGCGTTAACGACACATGCATATAAATGTAGTAATTAAAATGTACAGGCGTATACAAACAAATTCTAAAATACAATACAGAGACGAATATTTTAATATTGTTCATCCTTAATGTTGCCTACGTCACCTGTCCATATGTATCCGTTTCTGAATGTTAATACAATACAATAGCTTGAAGATAAATAACTAACAACACAATCGCACGAATACAGTCGGTATTATGATCGTATACTAGTCAAGGACGAATAGGCTCAAGCCCAGTGGGTAATGGGCTTATTATTTGGGGACCTGCAAAATTAAAAAAACCGCTACTCATTTCATTTGTCATAGAGTTGGTCTATGAGTATAATATATTCCGGTCCCAAGAACGTGACATAAATGTATATTTGGTCTAAAGGTGCATATATAGCTGCTATGCGAATATTAATGATATTATGATTTTATTAACGTCAAACTATTATATTATTTTCTACTTACCACATCTTCACGTCTTCAGTCGCTAGGTTGGTACTCATAGTTTTCAAAAGATGCTCTATCGGCTATCATTTTGTCTCTTCTGACTTTTATACTATACCAAAGTTATCGTTTTTCATTTGTTCTGTTCGATACTTCTTCGTTGACTTACCATGTACAAAATGTACATTTATGAGTGTAAAATAACCACTAGACTTTTGCTGGCCATACAATAACGTTTTACTGCTAGTTTGGGTGCCGAGGATGATTTGATTGCATGAACTTAGGTACTGACACTTTTCATAAATACTACATAATATTATAAATGTTGACGAATCTTTGAATTCAATCTATAGTTTTCTATTTGCGGGTTTAGCCATTTCAAACGCAACAACTACATATTTTATAAGATTTCAGTTTTAATTTTTTTTTCTTTCATGTTTTTAGGTTTTATACTTGTTGCGGAAAATGAGCAGGAAAACGGTTTATGCCACACCGGCGCTCCGGTCCGTATTGCTCACGTCGTGCGAGACTTCCGTTGGCTTGCAGCTGTGCGACAAGCTGGCGGCCGCTGGCTTTCGAGTGTTCGCCGGTTACAAGCCAGCAGGGGAAGCCGACGACGGGGCATCGTCCGGGGCGTGTACGGTGCTGCGCATGCGGATCAAACAGCGCGAATCGGCCGACCTGGAACGGGCGCCCGGTGGCATAGTGTTCATGCAGTTGGACGTGACACGTGAAGATTCCCTGCACGAAGCCGTGGACACAATCAAGAGGCATTTGCCCGCCGGCGAAGACGGTAATTATTATTTATTAAACCCAAAACGGTGTGGTCGAAATTGGCCCAAAGGTTTTGCGTGGGTTATACCCGGGAAACAGGTGGAAAAAATCTAGAGAATAAAAAAAAAATCGATTCGAGTCCGAATACTAGTTCCTCTACTAAATTTGTGCCTTAAGAGGACGCTACCCACCCGTAATTTATCTGCGAAAAATGGGTTTTGCAAGGGACAAGAATATGAGGTCGGTATGTAAAGTAGCCGTACACAATTTTACTTAAGCACAATAAAAATTATTTGTTTGTAAAGATAATTAATTTTCCCTTTTTTCATTTTTTTATAAAAAAAAATATTGAGTATAGATATCAACAAAATTAGAACGCTACCCCATAGATAAAGTTGTTCTCTATACATTGTCGAAACTTGGTAAATATACTGTTAATCCGGAATCACATACTTGTCTCGCGCAAAGCAGTTTTGATGGGAAAAAAATTGTAATTTATCTTACAGAAATGACTGTGATAGTCTGACAAAAAAAAAATGGCAACCAATAAAGTATTTATCCTCATTACTGTTTTAATAAGTATACGCTATAGTTTAAACTTTAAATTATGATTTTCAGAAAAATCTCCTATACTTTACTCCTTAGAAATGGTCTGGGTAGCGTCCTCTTAATATATTACACTCGCATGGTCGGTTTTGGCGTCTAACCATAAAAAACGTAAACAAAGTAATTGTAATTAATTATCAATTATCGTCGCTTTGTCCAAATGCGACGGTATTTTTACAACAAGGCGCAGTTGTAAGTGCATTATGGCCTCCAATTTTAAAAATAACACTAGGAACCCCGGGCTAGGATAAGTTAGACTTTAATTTGATGTTAAAAATATCTGAAATAGCTTCTCTGCTATAACCGGTAGTATATGTACAAGTTACACACGCATAGGCCACAATGTACAATGTAGCTTAACTTTGGGTACGTGTATTGTCAGTTCGTAGATGAATTACGACCATCACAGACATCCTTTCTCTCTCTCTCTTGTTGGAACGCCTGGACAAAATAAAAAAATATGTACATAACTATAAGATCCAAACAACGCAGTACAAATAATTAATAGTCGTAGTACTGGCTATATCAACACTCGGGGTTAGGCATCCGGTCAGGGTCGTAAGTATAACACGTCATACTAATAATAACAATAATTTATTTTTTCTGAACTGGAAGTGAGAAAACCAGTTTACCGGTTGTAAAATTATTATGCAGTTATTTGCTAAAAACTATCGTGGAAACGCTCAACTCGGCATTAAAACCACCTTAGCTATTGGGCCAAATGGTTTATCGAATTATTAATATTCGAATAGTAGCTCAATGTTACACGAATGCTGGAATATGAACAATGTGTATTTTCATAAACACAAATGAGTCATCACCGACTGGGATAACTGCAGCATTGTATAGCCTTCAAAAATAACAACGTTTTTATTTTAATTTTATTTCGACAAACAAAAAATGATTTTATCATTCAACGCCGCGGTGTTAGTGATAAGTAATATATTATCTTTTTCTTTTTAAACATTGATAAATGACAACAACTCGGGCTAAATCTATAACTCGGCCTTAATATTGTTATTATAATAATTAATAATCGTTTGTCAATGAAAAATATATCTTTTCAACTCCGCTATAAGATGTTAAAGATATTCGACTGAAAGAGAAAGAATTATAATTTCCATCGAACCAACATATTATTATATAGGCTAGTAGTAGCAAAATAATATGTAGCAAGGAAAAATCGATTTGTCGAAGTTTCGAAAGAAAAGAAGAAAAAAAATCCAATACCTAATTATATGCACGAGTGCATACAGAGTGCAAGTATGGCTATTTTCATAACATTGTGTGTGTGTATGTCTGTGTACTATACCAATATATACAATGTTTACATAACAATCAAAATAATACTATAATATATACTATTCGGACTGGACTTTTGTTTATTTTGAAAATATGACGCTTCCTGTATTTGTACAAGTTGTCTTGTAAAGAATTCCAAGCATTTGGTAATACACCTATAACAGTAATAGGCACGTCGTGCCTAATAACATAGTTGTCCGGTTTACATGTGATTATACTAACAGTAAGTATCATGGAAACGTACCTACAAGCCGTACAAGTTAAAGTTTAATAACTTTAACGTGCTAATATAAAAAGTTTTACAGCTTGTACAGCGTTGTTTGACCAGTAAAAAAGTTGTACATTGTATTACTAAAGAATTTTAGGATTTTGAACATTTTTTGTTATTATGTAAAGATTTATTAACGCAATAGGTTTTTATAAATGTTTAAGATGTACGAATAAAAGGTGCAAATAATAATAATAAAACTACTGCGCATTTGCATTTATAATAATATTACCTAATGTATACTCAAATCAACACATTCAATCCGACAACGTGGCTTACTTATGAATTATAAACAACTCATATAATATTGTAATTTGCGCTTATTTTATATTTTATTCTCGAGTGAGCATTATTATAATAATGTTAACCGTGTTTAAATGCTCGTCGTGTAGCCTTGAAATTAAAATCATCAAATACTGTAAGTTGCACCTTTTCGGGTGAGACTTTGTGTACACAATCGAATAGAATAGTATGTCCATGGGACCTTCCCACAGCAATTATGAATTGTAAAAACGGCAAAAGTAGTAAAGAATAAAGGTAAAAAAAAAGTGTCAAACACAGTTCAAGGTTATGCAACGTAAACATACAGCAGCTATATGACTTTTTATTCATTCCATAATAAACGAGTTTTGAATCTTTGATGCACATAGGTTTATTATTCAATGTGAAACGTTTCGGTGTCACATTTTCCGTCTTGTGCTAATCCTTTTATTTTATACGGTGTCGCAATACTAATACTATTATACATAGCATGACTTGGTACCTAACCATAAAGCTAACAGTTTTATAATTACATATTCCAAGCTTATCATCAGCTGTTGATCGATTCATCTGTAGTTATTGCTTTAATATCGCACTCGGCAAATATTAAATATTATTTGAATTCACAATAATGCCATATTGTGCCATATTAAATATACCTATTGTGTCTAGATTTTTTGGTGAAAAGTAAAAACTATTCAGTATTCTACAAGTGTATATATCTAGCTGTGTGCCTGTGTTAAGCAAAAGTAAACCGCGTGTTCAGATCTCATCAATTACGGTATTAAAACGGCTGTATTAAAAACGACAAACGATAAAAATTATGATTAAAAAATAATAGCAAGGAAAAAAGAAAGTTTTATAAATTCACCGAAGTAAATCACTATCTAGCGATTGTGTTTTGTACGTTATTATGGACTTTATGAGTTATTATATAGGCTTATGTGTTTCATAATAACTTAATATGAAGATGAACGATTTTAACGGCTATATGTCCGTTTGGTTAACCGTTATCGTTTTTTTTTCTTCAAATCTGATCTGAGCAGTTAGCTTCCTGATAACTGTGCGTTTCCGTAGTAGTTCTCGGTCGAGAAACTCGCCTCAGATGGAATTCCACTTTCGTGTGTGTGCCATTATACTTAATAGGAACGCACTAGATTATACCGACACGATGCGTGTGTTAGGTATTCACCTGGCTTTGCTGCTGATGTCGAACACAAGGAAATTCAACGCAACAAGCCGGTAGCCAGGTGCACGTCGCAAACCGATTGTTGTTGTATACAGTTTAGTTTCCCTATAAAGTATATTATAATTTCTGCCGCAGATCACGACCGATATCGGTCACGACTCAGGCCGAGTATCGTTACACGATCCATTGAAATAAATTTGTATATTTCTGGACATTATCTAATTCGGTAAACCGGCCGCGTGCCCTATTGCCGCTTCACGGTAACGCCTAACGTTTTTTTTTATATCAGCGGCGTTTTGACAGAAAAAAACCCCCAAAAAAGTCATCTGTTTCCCGCGTTCTTAGAGTAAATCTGTCGCCATCGTTTGGCAATAAAACATTGTACTTATAAATTATGTCTAGAAATAATTTCAGCAAAGTCGGGAAAAATACGGATTTTTCAAAATTCAGATAAACTTGATGGCCATTTTTTTTTATTCATAGCATATTAAAACCTAAATGTGTATCGGATCGAATCATTATTCGGGTTTATAAGGGTTTAGGTTTGATATTTTCAATACTCTTTAACATCTGGATACTGCTCGACTCTGAGCCCAAGGGTATATGGGTAGAATTGTGCAACCGAGCAGTGGCGTACACAGGATTTGTTCCTGAGAGGATTTTAGTAAAATTTTTAAAATCTATATACCTAAAAAATATTGTAAATCGGTGCGGTTTTGGAAAAGAAATTTAATGCCGTTTCGGAAAACTTTATTCGGGTTCTGACCTTTTAAGCACCTCCTCCCCTGTGTGCACCACTGTTATGACGATATGGCCACTGCGTTTCACTGTGATAATTTTTTTTTTATCCGTGACCGGTCTTGCCGGTTGTTGTTTTTCTTTGGACGTTGCGAATGCAATCAAATGTTTTATTAATAGGTTTTATTGTTGTTATACTTTTTAGTTTTTATTACCGTATCATCTCGCGGTGGCGATTTCGGGAAAACGGGCACGGTCAGTTCTCGCGCAAAAGATGCTGTGTATTATTTGGTGCGCGCACACAGCACAGGCTGTTGTTAATAATGACTGCTCGCTTTAATAACCTAGATAATCTTCTAGCCCGATTTCGCATCCGATGCGGTGTAAAGTGAGAGTACATAATAACGATAATAATAATATTATTATTATTATACGGCGTGGAACGAGCAAATTAATTAATGTTATCGAACTGCGCGTGATGCTTCTGTTAATCTGCCACAACTTACAATACCCGTGTGCACTGTACAGAATAGCATTCTGCTGTCGACAGTGTGTGTGTGTGTGTGTGTGGACAGTGATCCGCGCAAAACCGTTATAGTGTGCCACAACAACTACCGTACGGACACATCAACAAGACGGACTTGGATATATAACT